ACTTGATATTTTACTAAGGAGCAAATACACCCAACGAATTATTAATTATTTTTAAAAATAGAAATACCGTCTTAACATTACGAATCGGCTATAGTTAGAGATGAGCACTATTGTATATCACTGCAGTAGTTTGAAAATAGTGCGCTCTTCTCCAGATCTCGAAGTACTTGTTTGAATGTCATGAGAGGTTGTGTGTGCTCACTATTTAGTAGGTCTCGAAAATAGTGATAAACAACTGTCCAATACTTCGAGATTTTCAGTGGCGTTCGTGATGTAAAGACTAAAAGTTGGGAATTTTTGATTGATACTCTAACTATTATTATTATTATTATTATTATTATTATTATTATTATTATTATTATTATTATTATTATTATTACTAATGATAATAAAAAGAAAAACACGTCCAATAAGTATATTGCTTATATAAGATATTTGCAGAGATTCACTGGTGGGAGTCTTTTAACTGAATCAACAAACTAATTAACTTGATATAACACAGAAATATACTTCAATTTTAAACTACTTTTGTGGTAGACACTACTCACAAGATTGTTTGTAGGTAGTGTATGGTGAAAAGAGGAGTCGAAGTTGCAATAGTCGTCAAACAAGAAGAAAGATGCAAATGAATGATGAAATGCTACGTATATGTATTATTTAAATACTCTGTGACTTTTCATAATAAATGTAGAATCCTTCTGCCCATTGTCGTGTTCTATACTGAATAATTCTAAAAATTAACGAAGTTATGATGAACTCTTCCAGTTAATCATATATTCTAGGCCACTAAGTCATCATAAACTTGTTTCCATATTTAACTTCAATTGACTCAAAATAATGTATCACAATCTTCCAATCCTATTAGTAGGTAATTATCTCGCAATCGATATGGTCGAACTCTATCGGTAATAGCTTCCTACTAAAACTCCTGGAATTACCTCCCGAAACTAGTCACTAATGAGCGTATAATTATTAGTAGTAAAGAGGCTTTGAGAAAACTGTTAAAATATATAGTTTAAGTCTGGAATTGATTTTAGTTAGACAACCAATGAAAATCAAGAAGTACTGAACAGTTGTTTCGTCTTAGCATTAGTCTCCTCAGTGTTAGTACATATCAAAAACTTTAGGAAACGATTTTAATAAGTCTGTGTCCAATTTTTCTTCACTGTTAGATCAGTGATTTCTTCTAGCTCTCTAAACTTTGATCAGTGACAAGACCATAATACATGGACGATTTTTGAGCGATACTCCAATAACCTTGGGAAATTTCAATCGCTTACTGCGGTCAAAATAGAGTTATAAGATAGTGTGAAGAATTAGGGTTAGGGTTTTCATCACAAACTAATATAGTTTATCATCCCGAAATGCTAACTAGACATATGGATGAATGAGCTTCGCACCAAAATCCAGGAGTCGTTGTTATATTTAATCCATTTGGTTCGTCCATAGATTACGGTGCTGCATTGATTAAATAAATTTTCATCATTGATGAAGATCACAGCAAGATATTCACAATTACATTTAAAGTCATATGTTTATGATGAGGATCGCGTTGGTTTTCTTTTTTTGTTGTTGTCATATGCACAGAACTTTTGTTTAGTTCAGTATACGAGTATAAAGCCACCACCACCACCATTAGTATTATTATTATCATTACTATTATTATTATTATTATTATTATTATTATTATTATTATTAGTAGTAGTAGTAGTAGTAGTAGTAGTAGTAGTAGTAGTAGTAGTAGTAGTAGTAGTAGTAGTAGTAGTAGTACCAAAAGTGAGTAGTTTAAGGTCAGCGGACAAAATATGTATATTTATCGGATTGCCTGAGGCTTACGTTATTATTTAGAAATATACTTCAAAACTGTCAAAATTGATATAAATTGAGACTAGTTTAAAGGAATATCATAGTTTATATTGAAATCTTAGAAAATATTTCGTAAAATAAGTTGTAAGGATTTTAGATTGACTTTTATTGAGTCGATTATATTCTTCTTGATCAAATAATCTTATCCGTAGTTAGTCTTTACAATACTTTAAAGATTCTAAGCGTTTGAAGTGAATTTTAATTTGTTAAGTAATCCATTATAATTTTTCACAATAAGGCAGCTAATTATAATATTTATATGGAACTAAGGTGACAATACTTATTCAATATTGAATGAATCCTGTACTTCATCGAAGCAGGTTAAATTTTACAATATGAAACATTTTGTAAGTAAAATATTCATTTTTTAAAATGATCGGTTGATATTTATGAACATGAGTGCACATACATGTCAACTAACAGACTTAAAACCATAGCCAGTATCACTCTTTTATAATGAAACTGATCACCAGTGAACATATGACCAGAAAGTCGTCCATTAAAGTCAATATAAAATCGTTAATGTACTCTCATGATTAGTTCTAGAATGGGACGAGAATCCAATTTGCGATAAATCTAAACCTCAATCAGTATAGTACCTTTTTACACTTCACAATGATTGATCCTACATTTATCGTACTATCTAGAGTTCACACATTGAATTAACGAATCATTTCTTTCTCGATAGAAACCCTGTACACCTATAAATATTAATGACACTACAGACTAGTTGATGAGTAGAAGAGACATGTAAGGCCAGTGAAATACCATTGAGCCCTAACCAAGTCATCGGAAGTGGGGTCACTGAATATCGAACAGATCATCTCGCATCAGTTAATTGTTCGCCATAGTTTGGCTCATGCGGAGGTGGTCACACTTTCGCCTGTACCTACTTTGACTAATATGTTTCTGTAATTACATCTTTTGTATTGTACGGTCTTCAAAAACATCCATAGTACATTGATACGACGAAGAGGTGATTCACGTTAGATGCTGACTGTGAGGTGTGGCTTCGACGTCCTAACAATACTGAACGAGCGTAAGTTTGATTCACTTAGGAATGACAGATTCAGAATGATGTCTATTCTTCTGTAGGAGTATAGTATCGGGACCGAATTTAACGATTCTTAAAATAACCCCGACAAATTTCAGATCCAGTGTTAACCAAAACAATTTTTTATGAATAAATAGTTCATGAAAAAACATTTTACATAGTTAGCGAATCCACTAGTCTTTTACATGTTGTTCTGTCTGTTAATATAGAACACACTAAACTATAAGCTCTTCTACATGGATACAGAATACATATCTTCTCGAACCTAAATGTAACTTTCAACAGTTCTCACATTATACGTGATTAGAGTTTATTGATTAATGGTTAATGTTAAGGAATTTTTTGGTTGGGTCTGATTTATATTTTTACATGCACTCCAGTAGTGGACAAGTTGAACATTATCATTTTTTACCGTATGGTGCCAAAAATAGTGTCTTGTTATAATCTCAAATGTTCAAAGCACTGTTAGAAGATTTTTCGTCAAATATACACTTTAGGGACAAGTTCTAAACAATCGCAACGAGTTTCAAACCAGTTCTTAGCTAATCAGAAAACAGCTTTTGTAAATAGGTAGTTAGTGGAAAAGAAAACAATAATATTACAAAGTATAAGCTGATTTCACGCAATTAATAAATCTATTAAAGCCTTCTAATGCTTACTCTGCCTGTAATTCGAAAAAACGACTCATAAACTCGTTCTAATGGATATAGAATATCCATCTTTTCAAACTTTAATAAAGACACAAATAGATTTCTAGTAGTTCTCATACTGCTTCTAGTTAAGGTTAGGTATTTAGGGTTGGGGTTTTTGTTACATCCTCTACTTGATCATGGCTAACACGGCATATAACTAACGGCAATCGGATGTATAGAACCCCTTTAGTCGCAAATCAAGAGACGGAAGAGATAGGGGAAGCTATTACTCAGTAAAAGGAAAAAAATACAGAAAAACATGGGTACTTATGGTTATTAGTATTGTCTATAATATCATTATAACTCAACAAGTAGAAGTTTATACAGTTGTCCAACCATAGCATGTCACCTTGATATTCTAGTACGCTCTATCAGGTTCGTATTGAACGGAATCTCTTCGACTCCTTTAGAGCCTCTTGAGGCTTTGTCGTGCTTTTCATAACCTTCCGACCAGTTTTTATTCACTAATTGACATTAGAGACATTATGAATTGTCCCGTAACCATACAGTTGAGTGAATTTTGTTCAGAAATACAAGATGGGCTATCCGATTAGTTCACTTAAAAATATAGTACCACCGTGATAAGGTTTGTTTCAGGGCTAATGGCTTAAGACTATGGTTTAGGGATAGTGTCAATTTCCCTATTATAAACTATGCAGAAAGGCGGAATTCGATACGTTTAACGCTATCGTTTTTACTCTATGTTAGTAAAAAAATAATCTTTCTTTTGTCATCTTGAAAGCTTTGAGTAGCATACAATGGTAGTTTTACTGCTCATCATACATAGTATTTGAATTTCTCACAAAAGGTCAAAAGTCTTCTCCTCTATGATGATTGATTCGCCCCTATAGTGTGTATACTTTTGTCTATTTTCCTTTAGATTAACTGATATAAACTCCTTATTCTTAGTTTGACTGATAAGAAAACCTGAATTTCACAACAAATATTCATTTTCGATTGATACCGTGAATAGATAAATGTCTGACCACCATTGGGAACTTGGGAGCACTGGATGGCCGTCTCGTCCTAGTGCGGTGCCCCTCACCAATTCACACCCACGATCCTGGGCACTGGGCTCGAACTTAGGACCTATGGTGTCGCGCGAGAACGCTTAGCCTCTAAACCACTGAGCCGGCATCCAACGGTGTTAACACCTAAATTTAATTGGCCATTATTTATAAATGACTGGTTCAATCATGTTCTGAACATCAACAAAGGTACACTACAATCATTTACAGGTTTTCAATAGTGGTCTAATATTGATCCATTTATGATATCAATCTAAACTCAACAATCTCCATAACCTTATACTGATAAATAATTATTTATTTTTATTCATTTTCATTAGATTATTTCAAGAAATAATAAATTCAATCAAGAAAAAGACGATGAATACGTTGCCAGCAAATAGAACATTGAACACATTCAATGGTAATAATGCTAGACGTTCAAGTATCTCAGCAATACGTTATGCTCGATCGACATCATTGTATTTTCCTAATACAGATACAGATGAAGAAAGTCGTAGTCAATTACTTACAAGTGAAAGTATTGCAGAAACACGTAGAGCTGAAACAATGAATCGATTAAATCGTATCGATGTTAAAAGTGAAGGATCTAGGAATTTAACAAATCCATTATTTGATAGTATGAGCAGTATAGACCAACCATGGTTACGTGGTTATGGTCAAACTGTTGTGTTATCTCCACCAAAAATTAATTTACCTGTTCAACAACAAAATTCACACCAATCGCAACAACCATCCTCCATGGAACACGATACCGCTAGTACCATTCAAGATATGCAACATTCAATACGTTTACCTACACCTAGAAGTCCTAATATAATGCATGGAGGTTATGGTGCCTTGCCACCTTTACATTATGGTGCATCGATAAGAGATGGTTACGCGAGCAGTAGTGGAGGTGTTGGAATTGGGGCAGGAGGAATTGGGAGTGGTAGGAAAAAAAACAAAAAGAAGTTATCTTGTTTATCTTGTCTACATGGAACTAATAAAGTTGAATCGTCAACAAAGTATGTTATAAATTAGATTAATTGAATTTGAGTTATTCTTCGAAATATTAACGATCAGTTAATGAAATGAAGATTTTTTGTCTAACATATAAATACACGGCTGTTTCGTCTTACTCTCAAAAGATTTTGTGATTTGTAAAGGAGCTTTAGATTGTCAAGATGAATGGATAGAATACCAATTGATAGGTAATATACAATGATACAATTTGGACGAATGATAGTTCAGTTGTACACGAGACTGGATTGCTAACTTAAGCCCCTGAATGAATTGAGATCAAAAATAAGATCATTAACCAGTAGAATAGGTTTTCTTTATTCAATAAAAATAACATACTTTTTATATAGAAATTATTAACAGTGACAATAAATATATTGAAATGTTAGAAACCATTGGAAGATATTAATTTTGTGAGTTATTCTTTAATGAAGACTCGACTGTTTGCTTTGATTCTAGTTAACCATATCAATCAAAATCGTGACATGAGAGTGTCCAAACCTGAAAAAATAAAACAATTATGAACGTATCTGTCATATTTACCAGAATTGTTCAATTCACAGCACTCACTATTGAATAACAAGAAAAAAAACAATTATGTATATCTTTTATTAAAATGAATTGATTCTAACTGTTAAGATTTGTAGATAACTGAAACTTTGCACGATAGTTGATGACTAACACAGTACTGGAATATAAATTACATTGTATTATGTAAGTAGTGTCAAGGGTAAAGTAAGTGTAACTCATGGGACTTAAAACCAACCAATAGTGTTAGGATGCGAGAACGAAGGTGCGGGTCGTGAATATACACTGCTGAAGAATCCTATACTAGAACGAAACAGCCGTCTAGTGCTTCCAGGTTTTCAATGATGACCTAACATTCGTCGATTCATGATCTCAATCAAAAACTCAACAATATCCACAACCTCGTATTGATAATTTCCATGTGCTCACTAGTAACCAGCTTCGTAAGGGAATTGTCGGAGTTCTAGTGAGAAACTATGACCAGTGTAGCTAGTCCGTGTCAGGTAGAGACAGGTATCTACCTCAGACAATGGAAGATGGTTGCTCGATTTCATGGATTGGATGATATAATTTCATCCGAACATGTATTACAGATTCATTAAATCTAGTCGTTTGTATTCATCCATAGTTTCAGGTTTATGTACCAGGAATTTCAACTTCCTTGTATTTCAATGATTTATTCCATAAACCAGTGTGAAGGGGGGTTACTGAGATTAGCCTAACCCATTACTTTGTCGTAGATTTTGGATTAACAAAAACTCACTAAATAATACATACTTAGATATTAGTTTAAAAATAATAGAGTTTCCATTGCTTATCATCAGATAATGTTGTCGTAGCAACAATAACACTCGAAGAAGCAAAGATCATATCTACGTTCCCATAGTTGATTTTTTTGTACGTAAAATAGGATTTCTAAGCTCATCAATAAAATTATTTATCCTGAGGCTTCATTCAAAAGTCATCTAATTATTGTGGTTATTCAGTATCTAAAGTAACTTTGTCCCCTTAAAATATACGCGCATACATATATGCAGTAATGTACAAAGTTAACCGACTGATTAAATGTGCGTACATATATAGTCATGTCATTTACGTATAATTTAAATGTATCACTTCTCGGATAAACGTTCACACACACACACACATACACAACTCGCTTCTCAGTTAATGTTCTAAATGAATTTTAGGCTTATAATGATTATGATTATTACTACAATAAAACGCACTAAGTGGGTAATTATGATTTGTAAAATTTCACAACAGATACATTAATTGATTTTTGTTTAAATCTAATTTAACCGAGTAAAATACTCATTTATAGATATAAATAAACTTACTTCCTTGAATAAATCTATAACAATCTATAAATCTACACGAGTATCAGGTCAAGAAATGAAAAGTTTTCCGAATTCTCTATTCTCTTCATCCTCTCCCCCCCCACACACACAGTTGTATTATTTTTACTCATTTATTTTGATCAGAAGGGGTATTGTGGAGATAGTAGTAATTTCAATAGTTGAGATCATTTATTTTTACTTATTGTTATTCGTAAATATGTTATTAATTTGTTGTATTATTTCTCTCTTTCTATCCACTCACCCACGTATTTCCGCACACGCACACGCACACGCACACACATCATCATCATCATCATCATTTAGTTTCTATTCATCATCTGATGACTTAAACTTAATAGATGACCTAAATAAATCAGATGGACATGAAGTGAATAAACGAGAACAACAACAAAATCCATATATTATCTGTTTGTCGATTGTCTTCGCTTTGATGGACATTCTTTTATTGATCGGGTTGACTTTACTGATATTCTTTTTCAAGTGAGTTCAATTTTTTTTCCCCAAAAAGATAATATTTTACAATCCATTGAGTCTGGTTTTTTGTATCTGTTTTCCTAGATGTTAGAAATTTCTGATAGATTTTAGATTGTCATGTTTTAAACGGTAATAATGTTTTTTAAAGATATGAAATTTATGTTAATACGTCCGACTTTCTCTCCCTCCCACCATTCACTATTCAAAAGTAACCTTCTATAAACAATCAAAACTGTCATTCTAGCCGGTCAACAAAATGCCTATTATCTGACTCATAAAAGTACTTAATTTGGTTTGGCAATATCAGTTCATGTCAACATGGTTGTCAGCTATGTTTATTTCAAATAGTAAAAGTTATATGATTTGTCGAGAGATATTCATTGGTGTAAGATTTTCAACGGAAATAGAACTCCTTAGACAACTGAAAGCTTATGAGAATGTGACTCTCTACCATTTACATAATACAAGACATTCATGAAAATCCAGATGATTTCTATATAAAGTATGTATGCAAAATGACTGATCACCCTTCAGCGATCAACAACTTATCAAGCCACTCGAAGGTTTGTTTCATAATAAATTATTTATCCATAGGTTTAGACAGCCTGTTTGTAGTGGTTGTGAATCTTAAGTATTTGTTCGGAAGGCTTTTACGCAGTATCTAGATGGTTAGTGAGTCATATTCATGAGTTATTGCGTAACACTTGTGAGAAACACCCTAGCTTTCATCGTTTGACAGCTGATCAGAAGAATACACTCCATCCTTTATTGATTTCCGGAACTTCAGCTTTTACTGTTATCAATTTTGTGTATGAAAATTACAAAAAGAAAATAATCTCCCAAGACGTTTTCAATATGCGACAACCTAGAAACTTCTAGGTCAGTCTAATATTGCTTATTATCTCTGCTTAGTCGGTGATTTCGAGACATTAGCTTCACACATCATTGACGATGCAGATCTGGATGTGACTGTATCTAATGTTGATAGTGAAGACACGGCTGAAGTGAATGTGGTGATGCGAGGGAATAATAAAATTCCTGAGCCAAGTGAAGGATCTGACGATGACAATGTTGATAATTATGTCTGATGCTATTGGTTTCGACCGCCAAGCGTCAGAAACGGTTATGGTAAATGGGTGAGATCTTTTATACACAGCACATTCAGTCATCTTGTTTATTCTGCGACAACCGATGAGGGTAACTTTTTATATATGGAGTGTTACGGTTATGATATGAAGTCATGTGACCTGTAAATGGATACCACACTTAATAATACTTCTCAGTGCAGATATCAACGAAGATTCATTGAGAACACAAAATGATCCTACTTATAGCCCTCTCAACAAACTAATTTAATACTTTCCGGTTTATGTTTAGCCACTCAATGTATTAACAGTAATTAGGTTACTCGATAGAAAGGATTATGTAATAACTATTTTACTAAGTGCGTATCACATATAGCATAAAAATAATCAAGTACGAATGCTGAGTAATAAGTATGAATTTCTGCAATAACGATGTTCATACAATGTACCATTTCATTTGTGATCAGTAATTTTCCTAGACAGATTGACACAGTTAAGATCAAGCAATTGATTAATATCAGTCTGTAAATACTGAAATTCTGTTAGCTATCTGTTTGACATGAATTTTGTTATGACTTATGACCCTGTCTAATATCAGCTGACAAGACCACCGATCAGAATAACGATTTTTATGACTTTGTACGTAAGCTAACTAATGACACACTAACCAGTACTAAGTAGCCTCGAGTTAACTTAGAATCTTGTTGGTCCCCAATATAGTAGTTTTTCTCCTTGCCCTGCCCGTTGCGCCTAGAATATAATAATCAGCATCCACTATATGAATATTATATATTCAAACATACATGGTTTATATACAAGCAGACCATACCTCATCACACTGTAAAATGCAGAATAAAAATTATACATGACTTAGTAAAAGATGGCTATGAGTTGTGTTGTCTAACTCATTGACTGAAAATATCAAAATATGTGATAATTATCTTGTGAAAACAATCTCAAAACAACAATGACGAATAACATTCAATTAACATTGAAGCACATTTAACGCACAGGCAGTAATTAGGTATTCAATTTAGATTTTGTTACCTCGATGAGCTCTACACTGATCTGAGTATTGTATGTTTCCAACACGAACCTTATTCACCTCACTGAGTTATCCAAATGTTCACTTATCAATTTTATTGCTGTTATCCACAGATGAAGTGATTTTAATTCACCAGTTGAAACCAAATACATGTGTATAAAAGAGACTCATTCATTCCCTTAATTTTCCATAGTTCTTATAATCCCTCTATTTTATCTTACAATTCATGTGTGCCAATTATTATCGCCATCGTAATATTCTTCTTCTTCTTCTTCTTCTTCTTCTTCGTAAATCAGACAACCGGCGTTTACACTTTTTTCTATTGGTCAACATAGTCTCACCATCACCTAAATTATTACACAACGGCGAGACTCTAATTTATGGACGACCTTTGAACGAATCTTAAGTGACCTTGAGAAATATTAGACAAGCAGCACACAGTCCGTATGGAGTAAAAATGTGTTACATAAAACCAAGGAAATAAAGTGGATACAATTCTTATACGTGGTTCAAAAACTTGTCAAGGTTAGAAAGAGGTTCAGAGGTCCTAAAATCATAATGCATGCAGTAGAGGAAATCATCCATACGGCTACAGAATAGTCGGCCTCTGAAGCCATGATGAATTCTCAAAAACTCTTTCAGCCTCGACCACATAGTTTCAATATTGTTTATGTGCATTCCGGTTGATGAGTGCACAAAATGCTACTTGTGGATAACAACACGATGCACATAACCGCTCAGTTATCACCATTTTTACAAAATCCCCTGTGAACCGATCGTACGTTAGCAGAAAGCAAGGAATTTGGTGCCGTAACCTTGAAATCTCTAACACGCTTCTGATTGGCTCCTCCATAAATTAGAGTCTCGCCCACACAACTTCTGTCAAATACTTGGAACCGTCACAGTTACTTAATTTTAATGATGCAATACTTCTAGTGTGTTTTTAATACTTAAAAACATGTTTACTAGTTTTAATTAATTTACTCAAAAAAGATGTGAAACCTTTTGATAATTTTGTTTATATGATCAAACTATACAACACCATATTTTGCGTAGACATTAAAGATGTTTAACAATCCATGATACATTTATTTAATGACTCAAAAGCTCTTTAGTTGATTATAGACTACGAATGATATGATCGAATACGATTGGACAGTTTAAGAAAATGACATAGTTGAATAGAACATTTACTTCAGAGAAATTTCTTAGTATTTAATTGTAGGTGAAGTACATGTCACTTATTACCCTTGTAAAAATGTTATGATTTCCACACATCCTTTCTTAAGTTAGTTGGTTTCTGGGCAAACTAATAACTATGATAATCATAATTGTATGTTTATTAAGAATGAATGTGCCAATTGTGTCAGATTTGTTCGCATGTACAAAGTATTCACTATTGAGATCTTATAATGTGCCATTTTAACATAATACGTTTCTTCAGTAAATAAACAGTTATAAATATCTTCTATTTTTTAAAATCTCATTCATAAATCCTGTCATTCGGTTGACATTTAAGTTACATTTTAATTTATTCTTGACGTGATATACTAAAAATAATCACAGATAACTAAAAACACTTGATCTCTTGTCTACATGGTTGATATTAAGAATTACTACTTTTTAATTGAGGTATTTATTTCCTAGTATTATGCCTTCCAATCTTCTTTATTTATTTAGTTATGATGATTATTAAAATCATTAATCACCCAATGTTAGGTCACTATTGAAGACGTGGTATGGGATTCCTAGAAAGTGTGCGTCCACGACACCACATGTGGGACTTTCGCTCTTGTGCGCGAACGTTTAACTTCTAGACCGCTGAGCCGTCATTCAACAGTGTTAATGTCTAACCTCAATCAATCTACGACCATCTTCGATTGTTTTCAATAGGTAACTGCCTCAGACCACACACGGTTGAACTCCACTGGTTACGGGTTCGATTTCCGTATTCGGGATCGTGGTTTCTCAATGATGACGAGTCCAATGCTTACAGGTTTTCAATAGTGGTCTAATATTGTTCGGTTCATGATTCTAAAATAATTCAGCATTTCCCACAACCGTATACTGATTATGACTATTATTCGAGAGTATAATAATACGGGTTAATAATTCTATAAATCGTTAAAACTTTTTTTGTCTTCAATAAGCAAAATCACACCAAGTCGGTTTAAGATTTAAATATTCTAGTCATATGACAAATATAACCTTCGATATTCAGTTGAAATATTTGTAAGAATTGTATCTAAAATAACCACAGAGACAGTGTATACTGGATGCTTGTCCAAAAACCTTCAAATGTTGCTTTTGTGTAGAGTAAGATTATGAAACGAGATGGACTAGTTAAACACTATGAACACTTTAACAGTGTCTATATCGCCAATTGATTGTATGTGACATTACAACACACATTATTCTTCATCATTATGTAGGTTTATTTGATTAATTGCATTATGTATACATTCATTTTGATAAGTAAAATAATTATGTCAACATTAAGGAGGAAGAATGTATTTGTATAATATCAGAGAATGAATTTGAAGTAAATTCAACATTTTGCCTGGCAATCTGATCCGTGCTTTTTTAAGAAATTATAATCAAACATCAACATTATCGAATATAGATCAGTACATGGTGCTCTGGTCAACTATATACTAAATAGGTCATCCATCATCATTTAGAATATATTTACCCAGAGAACCATGTACTGATCTATATTCGATAATGTTGATGTTTGATTATAATTTCTTGAAAAAAGCATGAACCAGATTGCTAGGCAAAATGTTGAACTTATTTCAGATTCATTCTTTCTCCTTAATGTTTCACATCAACTCGGCTCCCAAATACTATGAAACTATTCGATCAAATTTAGACAA